TAATGAGGGCCAGCTTGTACCCGGAATGAATTAAATGTTCTATCAATCCCTTACCTATTAACAAGATCTGATTGGATATTGCGATTACAATCCAGATGATTCTGATTGTTGTGTACTATGTATAAGGGCAAAATACCCAGATTCATATGGACAATTTGTTGGGTTTAAGATGTCTGAAGGACACCTTAGTGCCCCCAAGAAGAGTGAAATGACTTGAAATGTAATAAAAAGATAAGGTCAAGAACACATATCAATCTAATTATCACAAAAGCTGATGAATAGAGCAGTAATGTTGAAAACCAAAGAATTATAAAAGGCTGTGCCCGAGATCCCAAAATATCTACCTTGAAAAAGAGAAAGATTGGGTTATCTCTGATTGGTTATCTCTGATTGGTTCAAACTTCTTGTTGAAAAAAAACTCTTGGTAATTGACAAAACGATAATGAGTTAATTTTCATGCTTCTTTTTCAATTGATAATTTGATTGATTTGGCAAAGAAGGTCTATCTACAATGCTAGTGTAACCCATGTTTTAATAACATCACCCTTTAATGGTTTAAAAACATTAGCCTTAAAATGCTTTGGAAGCAAGTCAATTTTATCGTACAGATCAATAGCCCAGTGAATTCAAGGCAATCAAGCCAATTATCTTTTCTTCGACTTAGCTGTACATGTTTGGTATCACTCTGGATAAGGCTGGCAAAGTGGTTACTACTTGTACATTTGGTTTTACTTGCTGATTTTATACACAGGTACAATTTTATAATTTATTACACATCTCAAAATTGTTTTACATATTTCTTTTGGCTTTACATGGGTCATACTAGAAAATCTTGCTAAGACATTGTTCTTTATATTTTAATAACACAACAATACAAGGAGATAAAAATACTTTTTAAGGATACTATAATATTTGGAACTAGAACATGCAATGTTATAGGTTGATAGTTTTGCTTATCTCATTTATCATACCTTTCTCTAGTCTTCTTTCTTATTTGTTCTTTATAAATTGTGTAATGTTAGAATACTTTTTTATTTTCATGGATTTGATGGCTTCTGTCTGGACTTCATGTCGCTGCAAATGAATATCATGTATAGGGAAGTGTGAGTTGCAACACAAATGGATATCCACAAAAGCTGTAGGCATGCTTCCTATGGGCTTTTTATGATATGGCATCATGGATGTTTGATGAAATATCAGAGAGAAATGTCTTTTCAAACCATGATGTTTTTGTAAGATAATGCAGAACACCCATAGTTTTATGACCTATATAAAATGCCATATATTTAAGTTGGGGCATCCTCTAATTCCTACAAATCGGCATCCAAACTTTATATATGAAACAGTTTTGCTAAAAGCAAAATTACTTGAAAATGAAGGCTAAGCATTTCTGTGCACATGTACGGATCTTGTCCAAGCTGTACTGAAAGTTGTTCTACGTGTATGTGTATGTTACTACACTTTGGATTATATGCCGAATGCATTAACACAAACCAATGTATATTCATAAGAGCAGACTACCCTTTAATATATTGAAATTGTTACCGTAAGTATTGCAAATGGTTTTTATTTATTTTTTTTGTTTTTGGGCTACATGATAAAGAGAGTTGAAGCAAGGGAGATACCAAAACATAATGTTTACTTTTTAGGTCAAAGTTACACAGATATGGTTATAGATCATAGCACATAAGTCTTTCACATTTCAACAACATTTCTGAACATTTAAGGCTAGGGTCTATCCCCCCCCAAAACACCATTTTCAGGCCAAAATCAAATTTCTGATGTTTATGGAATATCAAAGTTTAACATGTTTACTACAACTCCCTTAAAAATTAAGTTGGAAGTAACAAGGTCTTATGCCCTAAAAAGCTGTTAAAAAACACCTACCCTCAAACAATTTCAAAAATTAATCACTAATTATATATTCATGTTCTTCAAATGGCTATAACTTTTGATCTAAAAGAGCATATTGTGTATTTCTTTAAGAGAAACAACTGAACAAAATCAACAAATTTTAGCTGCCCTCTGATTGGTTGTTGAAAATCTAGAATAACACAGGCTCAATAGAACTCATTAAAAATTCAGCCAATCAGAGCGAGCCTTACAAAACGTCAGCCATATTGGATTTTCGAAGCAGGCCTGTGTTTGAGGTGCTATCCAGCAGACAACTATTGGAAAAGTGTACCCATGGAGGCACTCAAAACACAAATGAGAGCTTTCACAATTTGATTTGGGCAATCCCGTATGGACGCAACTGTTGTGTATAATGATGGGGAACTTGGAAGAATTCCCATTTTTGAACAACTTTTAATGCCAGGTGGCTTTTATACTCTGAAGTCAATGGCAGCGATTGATGGAAAGAGGATAACCAATGCATACATTGCAGGATGCAATGCTGTGATTCGTGAGCGACGGAATAGGCGTCGCGGGAATGGGAACAATGACATTGAAAACTACGACGGTGGTGCATGGTGATAACTTATATGATCAAATGAATCAATTACATGGACAAATTGAGCGATATTATAACTTTCTATCTTTGAGAGAAAAACAATTAAAATTTACTTGGAAGTACATATCTTGAGAAATATTAAAGCTTTTTTCTTCAAATAAAAAGCAAAATCATCTTTCAACTGTGCAGTATGTGGTGATTCTCAGAACTCAGTAAATAAACACATATGACCACTTCAAAAATTAGCATTGTATAGAAGGGGGTCAAACATTTTCAGAAAATTTTTCTATGACCCATAAGGAAATAGGTACAATTTTTTTTTTCAGCATAGTTACTCAAATATCTGAGATTCAACACATAGGTAATGGTATAAACTAACAACATAGCAAGTTTGATTATGTTTAAATGACCCAGTGCAGAGATCTGACATTTGCAGTGAATTGTCATAATTTTCATGATGTTGCGTTACTTTACAATAGCCTTGTGTGAAAGATATAATAATTTCAGAGAATATGTTTTTTATGTAGAAGTAACTATAAAGTGATAAGAAAAAGCATTAAAACGATGTATTTGGTCCATTACAGGCCTAAACTTTGAATCATTTCTACCCTTATATTCTGCATATGAGCTTTTCAATGTATTGCTAATTTGCATATTGCTTTTCCAGAAAAATCATGATGTTTGGCTCTAAATGTTAATTTATTTGTGTGTTATGAATAGATTGATCAAAGTGAATTGTTTGTACATAAAATATATGTTTATGAGTTATCTGTGTGCAAAAGTCCTTATAAACTCCAAAATGATGGGCAGCCATTTTGAATATGCCAATTACAACATTTTAGGCTAATTAGGTTAAAAATACAAATTCCACATCATTAACTATGATCATATGTGAAAGTTTTAAGCAAATTCCCCTATTTTTAAAAAAGTTATAGCAATACACTTAAAAACAGAAAAATAGTGTTGTCAGGGCTTGCATTAACGGCGTCCCGTACATGTTAAAGACTCAAAAATAATTTGGAGGACGCAAAAATTGAAAATATTTCCGTTTTTTGGACGCAAATTTTTTTTTAGGTCATTAACAATACTACAATGTGTTTACAACGATACCTAACAAAAACAAATAATTATGATCTCTCACCTTTATTTGAATCGTAAATAAGGCTCAACATGTTTAATATTTACAAATAATCATGATTCTCTCGAATTTTTTCGACTTTGTTTATTTTTAGATTTGAAACCATGACACGCAACAGTTTTTCCTATTCAGAAACAAATATTAGGTTATTCATGAAATAAAATGTATTCATTGTCGAAAGAACGAACATGCATTTATTCAGTCCGTACTTAATGTTTACTTCCATTTTAAATTCGCGGCAAGAAATCAATTAAAACTGAAAAATAAGGGACACACTTTTTTTTCAAAGGACACACTTTTAAAAAAAAAATGTGTCCTTGGGACTCACAAATTTTCTAACCTAATGCAAGCGCTGTGTTGTTTTTTTCAAATTAGATGTAACTGAAGAATTAACTACCCAACTAACTGTGGAAGTAGAAGCAACTGAAGTCAGCTCGTTTGTTTATACCAAGGACAGTGATCAAGCAAAACATTTTGGTTTTGGAAGCCGACGCCTACTTATCTGGAAAATGATACTTTTAACTTAACTACAATTACAGAGGACAACACATCAACTCCCACCAAATATAGGAAATGTAGGCGTTACAGGTTACAGCAAAAAATAAAATTGGTAAGCAAAGAACAGTTTTATAGCAGGTTCAGGGCAAGGATTTATCAATTTTGAAAAATTGATTTCAGTTTTTTTTTGGCAAGGACTGATGCTTACAGAACAAGGGCCCGTACCTTGAAAAATTTTAAGGACCTCCATTCAATAACAGGATGCCACGTAAAGTTAGCTGTGATCCCAAACTGGAACTGTGGTGTAAAATGTCATTTAAAGGTAATTGAAAAGTGTAGTCTATGAAAATTAGGAGGACAAGTGTGGATAAAGGTTACCACGGATCACCAAAATCAGGCTTTCAGTTCCAGAGTTGACTATTCTGTACCTACCTGAAAGCATACAATAATCTTGAGTGTGGGGTTGTGGATATTCTGCAGCTAACCCTGAGCCAGAATCGTACAGATGGTGTATACTTTACCCGATCAAAGAGAAGACCATGACAAGTGAGTGACCAAATCATGATGCCGTAAGGACTCTCTGAGATTAAGTCTGTGTATGGTATCTCCTGCTTGAGGAAATGCATGTTGTCAATAAGAAAGTCTCTTTTGCCGCTTTGAGTGAAGATTTGTTGACCAGGCAATGGGATTCTACCAGTGTAACAAATACGGGAAAATGCATTTCAATGATGTTGGTGGTATAGGGGTATATTTTTATGGTAAAAAAGCTAATTCTGCAACTTTAAAATCTCTAATTGGCGTTTAACGAAGGAAATCTCACTCAATCTGTGTGCATGGTATTAGAAAATTGTGTTTTTATACCAACCAGACAGATTGTGTTTCAATCTAATACAATTACAATTGCCATGTAATTCATTGCATATTTCAGACAACATATAACAATTTCAACTACAATTTAATTGTTACACAATCAGGTTTTCAGGCAGATGTAGCAACATATAATATCATTAGGGGGCACACCTGCTTGATATTGGGCAAAGAACAATATGCTCTATAGTGGGGTATGTATTGGCCCTTGCTCCTCTACCTGGGGTGATCTTCAGGCTTCATATGCCTTTGTAGCATATTCTCGATTCTGGATCAACCTTTATGTTTTTCAGGAAATGGAAATTGGTATTGTTGATCCAACAATTCTTGCTATACCTATGAGTTTTCAAGAAGACTTATTAGGATATGTTGATTACAATCCTACAGACATGGATAGTGACTCACAGAAGGGGGTTTGGCCATGCTGCTTACAGACAATTTGCACTTTTGGAATTCAGGAAATTGTGCCAAGGAAATCAGGTCATCATACCCAGCTGTGTTACATGGAGGATAACAGACCAATGTCATGACCTATTTGGAACTTATGTAAGCTTCAAAATTACAGATATTAGCATTCCAGGCGAACAGGATAAGTCATAAGACTGAATTTTGAACAGTGTAGCTAAATTTTGGGGTATAAATTATGCTTTTCAATATATTTTATGTGTACTTTACCATGGTTTTAAACAGGTTTTGTAATATTTTTGTATTAATACACAGGGTGGCCCCAAAACATGCTACCCTCTAATTCAAATTTAATTGTTGTGCCTATGTTTCCATGACCAAAACATCAACAGTCGGGTACTTGGCTTGGTTGTTTGTATCGAAATAATTCAAAAAGAGTGGGCCTGGTTGTTGAACTGTCTTAAACTGGAAAGTGTTGAATAAATTCGAAAATCCAATGAAACTGTATAGAAAGTGCACAGCATGGAGGAATCTCAATCAGGGGTAAATATTGGATTCAAGAATGATGCAAAATAGAATGCATAATTACTATCAAGAGCGCTTATGTTTAAGCATCAAGACTCTTATAAGAATTTTTGTATTTTAGAAATTATATTCTTGAATATTATTGGTTTTCAATACACTACACAATGTTCACATAGCAAAATCTGCATAAGACTATAAGTATTGTGAACTCATTAAATGGCCAGGTGGGCAAGAATGGAAGAAGATATTCCAAGGAATGCAGTAGAGAACCTGCTGTCCAGGCATGCTCTTATCTTAAATTGTTCTGAAATGTTCAAATCAACAATTCTTTAGAAATTGGATTTGTTGCAACATTAAATCACATTGGATTGATTTTGCACATATCATCAATAATCTGTCATTTCTACACATTTTTCAAAAATATGTTTGCATAATATTGAATCGAAAAAATTCATAAATAAATATTTACACATGTGAAGACTGACACAGTCAAATATTGTCACTTTGATAGACTTAACAAATACAGAACTAGTATACATTCATAATACATATGCTTTATATGTAACAATTGTGCATGGTGTCAGGTGCCTACTGTACTATCCGGATTAAGTCATTGACAATAACATGGAAAATCGTGCTCAATATCTGCAAAATATTCAACCACCGGAGAAAATGAACTTCTCAAAGGCTAAATGCTGGCCTCAATGGAAGAAACGTTTCAAACAAGTATGTCAAGCTTGTAAAACTAGATAAGAAATTGTTTGGTCCAAGCAAGGTTGAACTCTAAGTTCAGGGAATGTTCAAAGCCAAATTGCGCTCACAAAAGTCTGAGTCAAGTGAGGCTGAAGCCACACATGATTTGTATGTTGTGAAAAATCTGTCAAAACCACTTCTTGGTAGACCAGCTATAAAAGCTATGAATATCTTCAAGAGGTTGGATGTACACAATGTCAGTCAAGGTGTAAATGTCAATCAAAATCAAGCCAATTCAACTCATTAGTTTCCATAGTCCAACAACATTAGACCTAGCCTGGGCCTCGTTTCTTATCTGACATGTCTTATGGCCCCGGCTAGGTCTAACTTCCATGATGATTTTGCCCTTGATGCGATCATTTATCGTTCAGCAGGTTTCGACATGCGGAACTAATTAAACCGTAATAAGATGGTATCGTTACAGAAATAATGTGATCAACGCATGCATACATACCTTATGAATAAATACAAATCATCACATACCCCCCTGTAACCTCATCGATGTATAATTATGAAAATGTTGGGAGAAGGCTTTTTCTTAGTTTAGAAAACTCTGTTCTGGTTCCGGTAACATCGAAATGGCAAATCCTTTCAGGAATAAACCGCCGTTAGCAACACTGAACAAAACAAGTTCATAAAACGAAACGAACCCCGGTTATCCTATATATAAGTACAAAATATTGTAATACTGTAGGAGGCTTGCGATAAACATGATTAAGTTTCCTACTTTTTTTCCTGTTTTATTTTCAGAATTATGGTAAATTTCTGGCTAAAATGCTAAAGCTTTCAACATCTTTGGACAGACGCAAGCATGTGATACTGAATAATTAGATATTTTTCATAACATGTTTAAATATATATTGTGCCAAAGTTTTCTCTCCCAGAAAGTCAGTGATTTCCCATTGTAATAACTCAGATGCGAGTAGCAGTTTCACCACCAGGTGGCTCATTCAGGTCACATAGCATGACATAGTTATGCAAATTAAAATAATGTAAAAGAAAATATTATCTGTCCAATACAAGAAAACATATTTCACTTTTTGTGACTTTATATGTTGAATCTCCCCGTAGTAGCATTTACATTTTCCAAAACAAAAAATTTTCAAAATTGATCAACAATATTTGAAGCAATATTTCTTGATGTACTTTTACATGTACATTTCAAATACTAGATAGTATGACATCATTTTGACTGAATGTTTAATGACGATCAAGTAAGGTTTTTTAACATTAGAGTAATGAGATCGAAAAAAGCTGAAAAGTGTTGATTTGAAAAAAATCAGATTTGGAGGTATCGAGATAAATCAGGTGTGAAGTATAGGTTAAAAGTACATTTACTTGCTCCAATATCGTGATAAAACACATGTGTTTAACTTTTCTCTCATTGAGTAAATGAAATATCATTGTAGAAAAATATGTTTTATAAAATAGCATAAACAAAACTTCTGTTTAATTTTATTAAGAACATCATACATTTAAGAGCTAGGAATAAAACAACCATGCTTATACATCAGTGTTCTCCCCAAAAAAAATTTTCAACTGGGTGCAAGATTTCAAGTCTAAAAAAATCAGCACTCGCTACGCTCACAATATCTCAGTGTAGGTGCTTACTTCACTCATTCTTTAAATCAGAATTTGAAGTACAGATGCCAACTGGGTGCCAACTGGGGGGCCTTTGGTTTCAAGTAGGGGGAGCCCCCGGTTAAAGTGACATGGGGAGATCACTGTACATGTAATTTTATCACAATACATCACCACATTGAAGTTATTAAAATGTAACAATTACAAAGCATGTATGCTGAGTAAAATACATGATCCCAGTTATAAACAATTGAGTGTATTCCTAGGTATGTTTTTGCAAGCAGAAAACCATGAACAATTACCATAATTTAATATTTAGGCACAATTATTCAACACAATCACAATCTAGCACAATCAATGACATCTATATTTCTTTGAGCTGAAATTACCAGTAATCAAATGCATCAATAATGTTGCTTTTTAAAGTTTTTATAAATAACAATAGAGTAAACTTGGGTGAATACACGCGCCGTTTGAATAAAGCAAAGATTCGTGTCATACTGGATGGTTATAATAAATATCAATATTGAAGAACAATTTCGTTTCGCTGACCAAGTTTACTTTGGCGACGCACAGACAGACATTGCCGGTTGAAATATTTGTCTCATAAATTGGTAAGAATAAGACTCATTTTACGATTAAAGATGAACATTTAACACAATAATATTATGTGAAATCGCCTGATGAAATGTGGTTTCATATTATTGTTAAGTATCAGTGTCATATTAGCGAGGAAAAGTGGTTTCGATAGATCCACAACTTGCATCAAAGGAAAGAATAGCATGGAGGTTAAACTCAATAATGGCCCCAAGAAAATTCCTAATAATAAAGAACGCTGTTATTGAGTTTAACAACGTTGAACTATAGTTTCCAAAGCTTTTCACTGGGCTAGGTCAGCTTGAGGGCAAGTTCAGTATAAAACTTCGCGAAGACGCAAATCCCTCCGCTGTTGTCACGTCGCATGCCGTAAAATTGCCACAGTACAAGAAACTGAAACTGAAAAGTGGAGCTTAAGAAAATGGAGGAATTAGGTGTCATATCTAAAACTGACAAACCCACTGAATGGTGTCTTCCTAAAGTTCCGATAGATAAAGCCGATAGATAAAGCCGATGGTCAGATTAGAGTGTGCGTAGATTTCACCGCATTAAATGAAAACGTAATGGTTGAGAACTATAATATGCTATGATCTCCCCAGCATCTTCTTTCGTGGTGCAGCGCCCACTTCAACTTAAAACTGCGCCTAGCATGCGCCTACCTCAAAGTTTGCGCCTACCTCAAAGTTTGCGCCACCCTCAAACTGTTTTTGCCCCTACTTCACTCAATACTCACCAAAATCTTGAAAGAACGCCAGAAAAATCATAATGTTTACAAACTTTTGACAGCCAACTCCTTGATATAAACCACGCGAAACAAGTATAGTAAACCAGCTGCGCAAAACCCTGGGAGTGCTTTTAGCATGCTAATCAAGCTAAGGCATTATTAAAACATTTGCGCAAAAAATATATCTCACTGTTTCGTCCGCAGACACACAGACGGAAAAGGCATGTACTAATACTGATTCAGCGCGAATATTAAAAATTAAAAATATCATATTCCACAATTATGCCGAAACAAGACATTCGGCGGTTCGAAGACGTCAATTGTAAGTAGTCCCGTATATCGTACAGTCTGCAAATATATATAAAATGTTTATTTGAGTAAAGCTAGAATATAAATTATTAAATTTGTATTTCTAATGCCTTGTCAATCATCCACACAAGTACCAGCCCATTTTCGCCAAATATAGATTAAGGGTCACGTGACAATAATATTATTAATGCGACGTAGTAAACATAGTATTTATTTTGCTAAATTATTCGACTCAAAATGTCAGAACTAGCCTACTATTTCTTGTGATCACACTTGGATAGGGGTAGGGATGGGAGACTGGGAGATCACCATATTCAATATATCCATGCACTGTGTTAATTTTAGAATACTGACATATGGCATTTAATTTGTATTTCTTCGAATTGCAGTGATAAATCCAATGAACTATCAATGAAGATTGAAGTGAATTACTCTATCAGATTTAGTTAATTAAAACTGACTAATACCTACATAAGAAATAGGTTGAAGGTTAGCAGCATCGACAAAGTATTGAATATAATCATCAATGGGCCAAAGGAGGAAGAGTTTGACTTTAACAGTGCATGGGGACGTTGGTTTGAGCAAAAACCAAGGAGATGTGCTGACACAAGAGGCAGACAGGCTTCATTATAACTTGATAAATTTGATATTATGTTGTAAACATGTGCAGCTTTACCATCACATCACAGTACACATAAGAATAATCTGTGTTGTTGTATAAAATGTGAGAGAGAATGTGAGTGAGCAGCTATTTTGGCATATATAGAGATAATCGATTATGTCGGGTTGATCGTGTGTCTGGGAGCGAAGCGAGCGGCGAATATTTTCATGATTTTTATAACTGCGAAGCGAGTGGCAAATATTTGCCAGAAAAAAATGCACCCACCTGAGAAAAAATCCTGGGGAGATCACTGATATGCTTCCTACAGTAGAACAGTCTCTCGGACAGTTATCGGGGGCTAAGGTATTCTCTAAAA